CCCCTCAAAATACAAATCTTAAAGTTAGAAGGGGTTGTGATAGGTGTATTTATAAAAAAAATCATTACTTTTTGTTTAAAAATTTATTTTAATAGACAATTTAACCATTAAACAAAGACAAATGTCAAATTTTTACAAAAGTACAATGGCATTTTAAAAGTAGTGTCCTGAAATTTTATTTGTAGAGTGCTTTTGTCTTTTAGTAAAATTTTTAACTCTACCCTTTATGAAGGTGACAAAAATACCTATTGTCATGTAGTAATATTTACAAAATTACCCTTATTTAATTTGAAGGGTTGTGAAGTTTAAATTTTATATATATATATATATATATGAAAATAGTTTGATTGGGTTGCAACACAATTAAAATAAGTAAAGCCCCACCTCACAAGTCATCAAAAATTGCAATTCAAGTGTTGAAAAACCTTTAAATTGATCATCTCAGCTTGAAATTATGGTTGCGCAAAACAAATTAAAATTTTAATTCTAAAAGTAATATATATTGCAACAAATCAACTAGACCATCTATTTCATGACTAAAAATATGCGTTCAAAGATGTTGCCCGAAAGCCTAAAGCCTACCCTACCTAGCTAAAATATGAACTTGAACTTGGGATAGAAGCTCAGCCCATCTCTTGATGGTGAATAAATTGACTGATGTCTCTACGATATACTCCTAAAGCAAAAGTAGTTGCAGAAAGAGACAAAAGAAAAAAAATTAGGACTATAATGTGGGAGAGCTCCAACTTAACTCAAAACATAGACTCCATAATTACTCAGGACTAGTTGCCCTAGGGAAAATACCATGTAATTGCAAAGAAAGAAAGAAATATAATAATGAAAAGAAAAATGAGACAATTTGGTAATTATATATATATATATATATAAAGCTACTAAAATGTTGCACCTATAATAAATAATGATATAAGTGGAATTTCAATCTTCATATTTTATCAAGTAGTTCAAATACATATCACTATTTGAATTTTAATATTTTTTTAATAATCAGATCATAATGAAATTTTGGGCATATAGACTTGATAACATCGTGTACCATATAAAAATATAAAAAAACACTTTCAAGAATTTAAAATGACCAAATTACCCCATTATTTTCAAAGTTATTTTAATCATTTTATATTTTAAAAAATATTTGTTTTACATATTTGTTCTTGTGCGCAATTTTTCTTAGTACACACAAAATTTTATCACGATCAGATTTCTAGAAAAAAAATTAAAATTTAGATAGTGATATATATTTTGAGCTACCCGATGAAGATCTAATGATTTGATTCCCTCTATATTACTATTCATTATAGGTGCCAAGCCATTGGTAGCAAAGGATGTGGTTTATACAAGGTGGCATCCTTAAACGATCAAAGTATCGTACACCTCTAGATTTTATCATAAATGCAATTTTGGTGTAAAAAATTCTTAAGATGGATTGAGAATCCATTTTCATTTCTAAGTACAAAATTTTAAACTCCAAAAATGCTTCAAATCAAATAGATCTATAAACCTATGAAATTCTTGAAAATTGATTGTCTAAATAATGTGTTGCATGATGTACTATTTTTTGGACCCGAAAATCTTTTTTGTTTCCATATTCATATATTTCGATGTCGAGATGATCATTTAGAGATTTTTTTAATATCAAAATAACCTCTTAATATGGATTTGTGAGGTGGACCTTAATTGTACATTTGAAGGTTGCAAGCTTATATAAACTTTCTCCTATATAAATATGTATATTTTGAATGTTATATTCATGAGCTACAAGAACAATGTCGAGAACCTGTCGGTCTCCTCTATTAAAAATACACCGCTCCCTCTCTATCTCTCGTGAGGTTTTTGAAAACTAGAAAAGATGGCAAGGAAAACCGCAAATAAAGCAACAAAACAGAGCTTTTTAGATCAACCAATCCAATCCTAAGCAAAGATTTAATTCCTTGTAACCATGTATTTCTTTGTCACGACAAGGATTGATGTGCAAAAAAAAAAAAGGCAAAAAAGAGGAATTCCACTACTAAGGAATATCTCTCCACATAAAATGCTCAAATTAATATGCTTTTCGACCCGTTGGATTCGACTAGTGTTTCGATAAGAGATTTAAAAACGCCGTATGGAATCGTTCGATCTGACTTGAGAATTGGTCGCACCTTGTGCCGGTTTCATGAATATATTGGATCACTTGAGTTTAGAAGAGAATCGTTGATTTTTTTACAGGAAAATGTCGGTCATTTTACTACAGTAAAAACAACGGTTCTTGGCTGGTTCATTAGTTTTTATTGTATTTTTTAGCCATTAACTATAAATAAAACGATGATTCGAACCACCGATTCGACCGATTTTTGCAATGCCCGACCCTAATCTTCGACCATTTTTTAAATCACCGATCTCTCTCTAACTTATTAATATAAGAGCAACCGTCGCTCTGTCTAGGTTTATCATTAAAACAGGATCCCTCTTCTCTCTCTTCGTTTCCTTTCAAACTGGGTGCGAGAGAGCGCGAGAGCTGCTACAACGGAGCCTAGAGAGAGAAAAGGGCAGGCACAAGAAATCTTCTCGAATCTAGAGGGAGAGACGCTCCGGATTTCCAGCGTATTTATCTCTCTCAAGCCTATAGACGTACGTATTTTATTCATGCTCCGCATTTCTGAGCTCCACCCGCCATGGCTAAAACCCGCCCACCCAAGAAATGCCTCGACTCCTTCACCATCAAAGGCATTAACAAGATAGTTAAAGGTCTTTCTCTCTCTAAAAGGAGTAGTTTCTCTCTCTACAATACAATCCTCGCTATCTATCTGTAGGCAGCTCAAAGCAGAAGTCTGCCCCCCTCTATGAGGAGAGTGTTCCTTCTCTCTAGAATGAGAAGTCATTTTAATTCTGATTAGTTATCTGTTCCATTAAACCTAGGTTTTTACCCTTTGTTGATTGGTTTTGCAGCGGGTGACTGTGTTTTGATGAGGCCATGGGATTCAGGGAAGCCCCCTTATGTGGCCAAGGTTGAGAAGATCGAGACTGATAGCCGAAACTCGATTAGGGTTAGGATTCGGTGGTATTACAGACCTGAGGAATCGAAAGGGGGGAGACGCCAGTTCCATGGAGCTAAGGAATTGTTCCTCTCTGATCACTATGACGTTCAGAGCGCTGATACGATTGAAGATAAGTGCACTGTTCATACTTTCAAGAATTACACAAAGCTCACTTCGGTAGAAAACGAGGATTACTTTTGTCGATTTGAGTATAATTATGCGACTGGTGGTTTCACCCCTGATAGAGTGGCAGTGTGGGTAACTTTTTCTCTCTCTCTATTCGTTAGCTCTATGTTTCTCTTTTCTTTTGATGATTAGGATTAATTTTATCTCTTTATTTCCCTTCATGTGGCTGATTCCAGTTGATTCTCTCACACACACTATTTGACGCTTCTGCTGATCACGATTCATTTCATCTCTCTCTCTCTCTCTCTCTCTCTCTCTCTCTCTCTCTTTCTCTCTCTCTCTCCTGACTGCAATTGATTTCATCATTCTCCATTGTTTAGTATAATTGATTTTCTCTCTCTTCTGCTGATTGTATTTAACTCTCCCACTCTCTCATCCTAGACCCATGCTGTATTTTGAATTGGTTGGCTTTGCTCAATTTCTCAGTTGTTTGTTTGTGGCAGCTTTTGCAAGTGTGAAATGCCTTACAATCCTGATGATCTTATGGTCGAGTGTGAGGGTTGCAATGACTGGTAACTCATGAGCCCATGTACTCTTTATCTATGAATAGTATAGCCGCAATTTCATCATGTTTCACCTTTTACTGGTTATTCATATGTCAAAACAATTTACTGCAGACATTTCTTGATGTCCTCGAATTTTTGTTGATATCTTGGGGGATTGTCACAAGACGAGTATTTCTTGATTTCTAGTTTCTTACCCAGCATTTGTAGAGCGTATATGAAAATATTGTACCTTAGCTCTGGATGCCAAAGCTTACAATATGAAATATTAAGGCAGTTATTTGCTTAACATAAGAAAAAGAGAGTTCATGGTGCTAAGAACAAGTTACACTATCCGTTTCGCAAATAAATAGATGTGTGTGTGTGTGTCTGTGTGTTTTTGGTTTTTTGTTTTTTTTTGGGTATGTTAGTGGGGGAGAAGGCCCCCTACCAGTTTTACATTAATAGAAGATAAAACAACATACTATTTTATAACCCTACAGTAGGGCAGTTGTGCCACATCATGAAGTAATGGAAGAGAAAGAAAATTTGGAGGCCTAAAGCACCAAATGGTGGAATCTGAAAAAACTGTAGCCTTTTTTGCAAGTATATCAGCCACCATATTAGCCTCGCAGTAGATATGGCAAATAGACCACGAATGATACGCAAGTTTGAATTTGCAATTAGCAGCTATGGTATGAAGCACCCATGGGGTTTGCAGTTGCCACATATAACCTGCACTAGTAAAGAGGAATCACTTTCAATCTGAAGTGGAAAACAATCCATCACTATAGCTAGATCAACACCTGCTTCCAAACCACGGAATTCTACATAATTATTACATGCAATACCAAGGGGGATAGCAAATGCAACACTGTAAGAACCATCATCTTTTCTAATGATGCCTCCACATCCAGCTCTATAAGGAAGACCCATCAACATTTAGCTTAAAATGTTATGAGTGAGGAAATGACCATGCAATTGGTATGGGTGCCTTGATCCTTTGCTGTCATCATGTTACTTGGAGATTTCATGTTATTACCTTTTTTAAAATATGATATGACCAGGCCTTAGCATCTTGCCAAATCACGAATGTGACAAGTGATCCTTCTATCAAATGTTCACGTTTGGACATCTTTCCTTGAAAGATGCGACGATTCCACTCCTCCCAAAGCATCTAAACTATTGTGAAAAAAAAAGAATACCAGATATCAACAATACCATTGGACTTGAATTTGAATGCTATCCATTTTCTCAATGTGGCTGCAATGTATTAGTCCAGGGTGAAACATTTACCACATTTCCATGCTATCGATCTCAATATCCCCTACGAAAAAACATAATCAAGCAATAGATGACATTAGTATGATAGAAGGGGCACACAGGAGCTTGAGTGATTCCTCTCCGCTGCATGAGCGAGGAAGTAGGAAGACGATGGTGGAGGCTCAGCCAAGAAAACCATTTTGCTCTAGGATGGCACTTAGAAGACCATAATTACTCTAAAAATTGGTTGAGAAGAACCCGTTCGACGAATTAAAGTTCCATGCCTCTTTAACCAAGAATATCCCATTAAAAGGAGTCCATACCAAAAAATAATCATGTGGTTTAAAAGGAATTGTGAAAGACTCACCTCCTTCCAAGCTCGCAATAAAGGGGCCAGATGTAGGAGAAGGTAAATACCAAGTTTGTGGGGAACCATATAAATAATATGTGACCTTAGGTTTAGCAAGGACCCCCAGATCCTTGTAAATATGGGTTCCATAATATTCCATGACGGATTTTTCTGATAGCCATGGATCTGACCAGAAGTCCATTGACCTACCATCCCCAACAATGCATCTAACATTGTGGTGCAAGAAAGACAACCCCACCCCATTTGGTCCTTCCAAGCATAGGAGCAATTCTTTCTATTAGTTTCCCAAAATTCCTAAAATACCTGTGCTTGAAGAAACGAGCTGAGAGGAAGTATTAGCCAAGATCCATACCAAATTCATCATGCCTGCAATATTGAACTCAGAGATGTCATGAATCCCAAGCCCCCCCCCCCCCCCCCTTGCAGCTTGAGACATACAGTTTTTCGCTTAACTAGATGAAGCCCTTTCTTATGAGTTGGGCCTGCCCATAGAAAATTTTGTTGTAGGCCTTCTATCATATAGCATGTGCGTTTAGGCAATACGAAAGATAACACCCAAAAAGTGGCTCAAGAACTGAGGACCGATTTCAATAGTTGCAACTGACCTCCATAAGATAGGGATAAAGTCTGCCATGTCCCTATCTTAGCAAAGAATTTTCCCACCAAATTATGGCCATTGTTATGCTCCAAATTACCATGAAACAATCCCCAAGTATCTTACCGGAAGAGAACCTTCACCAAAACCCAGTTCCTTCAATATCAAATGCTTAGAACTCTGAGATAGCCTGAAGAAAAAAGCCTTACTTTGGGTTACATTCAATTTTTGCCTTGTGGTTTTTTCAAAGGTGTAGAGAACAGAATTCATGTGACTAGCTGTTGTGTTAGAGGCCTCACAAGAAATAACCGCATCATCGGCATAGAAGAGATGTGATATCCAATAATCGCAACGAGAGGGGAAAGCCACAGGTATTGTACCTTGTGACACAACATGATCTAACTGCACGCTTAAATAATCCATAACTAACAAGAAAGATATGGAGATAAAGGATGACCCTGCCGTAAGCCCTTTTTACCTCTAAAATACCCCTTTGGAGAGCCATTATGGAGCATCGAGAAAGATGGAGTGGTAATACAATGCCAAATCCAGGAGACAAAGATTTCGTAAGCCCAATACCTGCTGCCTATCAAGTACAAAACTCCAAGAGACTCGATCATAAGCACTACTTAGAACAAGTTGTAAACACATATTAGGGTTGGCTGAGTTCTTATGACATAAAGAAATAAGTTCATTTGTCATCAATATATTATATGTGATAAGTTTGCCCTTAAGAAATGCTGCTTGTATAGAATCAATAAAGATATGCAAGATCTCCCTCAATCTATTTGAAATGATTTTGCTTATGATCTTATAGAGGACATTACATAAGCCAATGGGTCTAAACTCTTTCATAACAGCATGGGAATTGACTTTAGGAATAAGGCAAATGAAAGTGGAATTTATCTGTTTTAGGAATTTATTGTTCTTGAAAGAGTCGTGAAGAGCCGAAAAAAATTCCTTATTGATCACCTCCTAGCTGAATTTATGGATCCACTGTGAACCCATCTGTGTGTTTGTGTGTGTGTGTGTGTGTGTGTTTTCACTAGATGCATGGGAAGGTAGGAATGTGATGTAGAGGAAAGAGATGAGAAATATATAAAAAAGGAAATACAATGTCTGAAAAAGAAAGGAGGGTGAGAGAATGTGCCTTCTCTTTGAACCTGTAGAGGACTCCATGCCAATAAGCTCTCCTTCCATGACTAGAAAAACTCAATTTTAACTTATTATCCTTTCAATAGCCAAGAGTAAGGATGAAAAAGAAAGAAACCTTAAACCAGTAGTTGACACATAGATGGGGTCATAATTCCAGTTAGGTGGTCACTGGTCACCTTATCTACTTCCAAAATAAAACCCCCAATTCTAACCATGAATTCTCGAAAACAGTAAAAATCACTCCAATATCAATTTTGAAAGAAAAGAGAGAGAAATTAGGTGAACCTAATCATGTCAGTGCCCCGGGGTTAGGGAATTCCAAAATTTTCCTTTGTCTTCTTCACGTTGATCCAATTGTAAGGATTTCCATATTTCTGCTGAACTTTCGGTTCTCGGATTTGTTACCACCAAACGACATGGTTGCCATGAAGCGTAGAATCAACAAGTTCAATTAGTAGGTCTTGTAGCAATTCCTTCAGGTTGAACAAATCGTTTATGATACTCAATGAATTGATGAAACCATGGATATTAAGCTTATCATCGATTTTAAAAGGTTTGAATTTTAGTTTGAAATCTCTCTTGCACTCAATAGGCCATGTCTCTGAACTCAAAATCAACTCATTATATTCTTTGGATCAGTTATTAGAGACGTATGTGTGTTTTGTTGTAATGAAGATTGAGGTTTGATGCCCCCATCTCCCATACTACAGCTAACCTCTTTATGGTAAACAACATTTTTCTAATTATTGACTTGTTGACTTAGTTTGCTGATCTCTCCTCAAAAGGTTAGAAATTTGTTCTCAAAGGTTGTTGACTTGTACTCAAAATTCATCTCCTGACTCCAACTTGCTTGATTCCTATGCTGCATGAGTTTTTATAGCATCTCTATCATACAAGGCGGCTTTTGTTAGGTGCAGTGATAGCCAAGATCGACAGTCTAAATGTTTCTCTAGAAAGATTGACTTATGTTTTTTTTGCTAAAAGAGATCTTTGTTATCAAATGTGGCACATAAACTTGATACACAAGAGGGTCCAATGCACTATGTGGCTCGATGTGGTCCCCATGCAGCGCATCACCTCCAATGCGGTCTATAAATGTAAATCTGTTTAAAAGCTATAAAAATATAACGATACAAAGAATATAACATGAATATGCAATTTATGTGGCAGTAAGCATTTTAGTCTAATAATGTGTATGTTGTCTAGGTCATGGATAACCTAATAAAGAACAACATAGTTTTTAGTCTCTATGCTTTAATAGTCTAATGTAATTAACATCTAAATAAGTTAAGGAAAAATATATATACCTCTCTTTGCAATTATAATCCCAAATAAACCCTCAAGTCCATAAAATGCCCATGGACTCCCTGCAAGTTAAAAGAAAAGGACATCTAACCCCCTTTGCACCTTTTTCATCGTTCAACTTACAATGTGAATGCTTTTTACATTTTCTAATGATCCCGTCACCCAGTGTTTCAAAAAGCGCTAGACGGGTCCTAGGCGGCGTGGGGGGTCCAGGCCACCTAGCGCCTAGGTGGGCGCCTTGGCAGGCGCCTAGAACCTGGGCGGCCTAGTTGAATCCAAAATGGATTCTGCAGTTATGTCAGTATCAGTTATATGTATTGCAGTACATAATTCCAATTATAC